CCGCGCGCTGTCCGCCCAGGCAGCGCGTGGCCTCCAACGCTTGGGCGCCCCAAGACCGGCCATGCGCTGCCCGCGCGGGCAGAGGGTGGCCGGCGAGAGGAGATTGCGCGAAGAGTTGTGCGCACTTCAAGGATGAGAAGGGCGAGCACATTCGTCGAACTTATGCTGGCGAGAAATCCTTCCGGCATGTCGCTCGGCGGGCGCAACTGAGCCAATTTGCCGCTCGGGGGGGGCCCGGCTGTCCGCGACGGAAGCCGAACAACACGAGAAGGAGTTGGCGCGAGCTATCAGTGTTGAAGCTCCATGAAACAAAGAGCAGGAAACGAGGTGCCGAGAGGCAAGAGCAATGTTTGCGAGAGAAGCCCGGCAATGCGCATTGCTGAACTCTTTACAGGGGGTATATAATCTAATAGGTCGGCAGAATGCGCGTTGCAAGAGAAAGAGACGCAGGCTGCTGCCATGGTCCAACGCGCGAGGGGAGATGCCAACTCGATGGTTGAATCTATGAACGCTCGTGGTCATGATGTTATTAATCGGGCAGAACAGGTGAATATTGAATTGCGCATGGTCACTGCGGACCCTGCGCGACAAAGGGAAGCGCGCCCTGACTTGACTGCACTCCGCGAGTCCCGTGGCGCGGCCGCGCTCGGCGATGGAAAGATGCAGGCGGCGCCTCGGGCTCGGCCTGTCGTGCGAAGCGATCTTCAGATAGCCTCGTTGGCCATTGCGACGCAGGAGGGCGCGTCTTCTTTTGGGGGTGGGGCGAGAGGAACGGCGACCGAGGCCCAGCCTCTGGCGCTTGGAAATTCCTCGCATCGCGCCCCCGAGGGCAGACCGCAGCCACGCGTCGCAGGCTTCGGGGAATTCGAAGAAATAGCGTGTGTGCTGCAGCCCCAAGTCATTGGAATGCGTTTTTATTACATGCTGCGACAATGACATATTTTCGATGGCGAGACGTTCTCAGGTCTTGCGCCCACCAGGAAACAAAACCGAAGCTCCGACAACATATTTTTGCATTTGTTTGAAATTTGTTTTGGTGGTGCCGACGGATGGCGCTATCGCGCGCGCGTCCCAGCTTGGACTATGGGGGCAACCGCCGCCCATGCATCGCGCGAGTGTCTTTATTGCCACCACTTAAGCTGTTCCAACGTTGTCATAACGCCAGCATCAGATACAGTCCCTAAGGCCCAACCACGCAGATTCAATGCGCGTGTCGCAAAAATCTCACGCATCATGCGCGCGAGAAGCGGCGCTCCGCAGTGCGCCGTGACGTGAGCCGCTGCATTGCGCAACGTTGCATGGCGCGTTTCCGCTATGACACGTGGGCGCCCGCGGCGTGGGCCCCGCGGCCGTGTCGCAGGCGCCTGGGGGGCGCCCAACCCTCGCCATATTTGTGCCTGCTCGCAAATCGTGCCGTCGACGGATTGTAACGCCGTCCAATCTTACCCCTGGCCTTTGCGATCCCTGTGCCGGGTCGCGGATCGTGCCGCTCGGCGAATTTTCACATGTTAGCATCGTTATATATTGCCCCCAGCCGTCGCGATGTCTTTGCCCGCGCGCAGGTCGTGCCCCGCTTCGTATCTGAACATTGTACTTGCTCCCAACCCTCGCGCCCCTGTGCACGCGCGCGGATCGGGATGGGGGCGGGTCGGGGAAGGGGGGGGGGCGCAGGGGAGTGAGCCGGAGGAATGGGGGAAAAAGGAGTGGGCGATAACGACGGGGATTGAACAGGAGGGCATGGAAGAACGCAAGGATGACGAGGGGGGGGAAAGGATGAGAGGGGGGGGGGGGGGCGGGGGAATGGGGAGTGAGAGGAGGAGGCGGGGGAGGAGCAGGACGGGGGGGAGGGGGCGAGGGTGGGTGGGTGGAGGATCGCGAGGAGGAGGTGGAGGTTGTAGGCCGCGTCTACCTCCTCTGGATTCACCCGGGCCATCCTGCGGCGACTCCTGCTGCCCCTCGGGGCGTGTTGGGCGTCCTGCGCCCTGCAACAGCGTGGGCGCGAACGCCGTTTCCATCTTTTGTCTTGGCAGAGTGACGTGGTCCTGGGGGCGCCTCCGTTGACCATGTTCATTATGCTTGCTGCGGGCGCCCGTATTGTCGTCAAACAGTTCGGGGCACTGCTGGGGCCCTTGGGCGATCGAATCGTGCTTTCGATTTTCTCAGATGGTCATTTTTAACCGCGTCGGCCGTCTGCGGGGGCTCTGCGGCGAAACCGGGCGAATAACATTGGAAGGGTCAAATGTTTGACTTTTTCCGAGCGTGGAATCGTTGTAATTCTGACCTTTTTTTTCCCCGACCTCGAGGATGGGGGTCCCGTTTAGTGTCCCCCTGGGGGGTCTGGGGGCGTCTTGGGCCGTCTTGAGGGCATGATGGGTTGTCTGAGCGCTCTGTTGGAGGCCTCCTAGGCCGTCTTGGGGCGGTCTTTGAGTCCTCGTGGGCTGTTTTGGACCGTCGGCGAGCCGAAACGTGGAAATCCGAGAAACTTTCAAAACCTCAGCGAAAAACAACACACGTTGACACTTGGGGCTTTCTGGGGGGGCCTCTCGGGGGCCTCCCGAGACGCCCTGGGGGCCCCCTGGGCCGTCTGGGCGCGATGTTTGGTGCCTGCTGGAGGCCGCGTGGGGCCTCTGGGGGGTCTTCTTGGGCGGTGAGCTTGAAATGCCGGTTGCTGCTGCTACTCTGGAGGTGTTTCTGGGCCGTTCCTGGAGCTTTCGGAGGCCGTCATGGGGACCTCTTGGGCCGTCATGAGGGCGTCTTGGATTGATTGTCTGGGCGCCTTCTCGGGGGCCTCTGAGGCCGTCTTTGGGCGGTTTTTGGGCCCTCTTGAGCTGTCTTGGTGCGTCGGCAAGCCGAAGACGCGAAAACCAAAAAACCTGCAACATTCCAACATTGCAAAGAATACAATACATTTTGACACTGGGGGCTCTCTGGGAAGGCCACTCGGAAGCCTCCCGAAGCGTCCTGTTAGCTCCCTGGGCCATCCGGGCGCGATCTTGGACGGCCTGGATCGACCTGATGGCGACTCGTGCCCTCTCGGAACATCTTGCCGACCATCTTGGGGGCCCCCGCGCCGCGCGGAAGCGTGTCTGCCGAAATGAGGCCGTCTTCCGCCGTCTTCCGCCGGCTTCCGCCGGCGTTCCCCCCGCGGGCGGGAGGGGGTCCCGGGCCCCCCCCCCAGACCCCCCAGGGGGGCGCTAAACGGGGGCCCATCCTCAGGGTCGGGGACCTGATATTGCCACGAACCCCGACCTTGGAGAACAAGTGGGCGTGCCTTGCGAAGAAGAGAAAAACAAAGAAGGGGATCACTATATGGCGCGCCCTGCTGTGCTTGTGTTGGCTGTTTCGTGAGGTGCTGCATCCAGGGGTATTCTGCTGGTTCCCGTGTTGTCCGTTTGACGCTTTTCCATCTTGTCGGGCTGTCTCCGAGCATCTTCCAGGTTTGTCGGGTAGTGTTGGGGTCTTGTTGGGGGCTTGATGGGGCCACGAAGTAATGGTGGAGGAGGGAGTGGAGGGGGGAGGAGAGTAGAGGGGAGTGGATGAAGACAAGGGGGGAGAGTAGTGGGAAGAGGAGGGGGATGGAGGACGAGACGACGTCGAGATCGACGTCGACGATGACGACGACGGGTAGATGCACGTCGCACTGCGCCCGGTCTCTTGGGCTCGAGCGAGGGCGCGCAATTCCTTGCCCGCGCGCGCTTTGCTCGTTCGAACCTCAATGGCCCTAGTGTCCCTGAGTCTTTCTCTGGGCGCGTCCACGAACTAGTAAGCGTCATTGTTGTTTAAAATATGGCTACGGTACCTTTTTTTTGCCGGGAGCTGGGCAGGGGAGCTGGGCACCTGCCCGCTCCTAAAGGGTGGGGCCTTATTTTGTTAACCGGACCCCTGGCGAAAGTTCCACGTGAAACTGGTTGAGGAACGCCTCGTGGGGCTAATCCTGCGGAGGCTGGCGCGTCCTCGAGGCCGCGTGCTCTAGACGCGCAAGAGACGAACTTTTCGAGCGTGATATCTGCAGGGGGCTGGGAAGGTTCTCGGTGATGGGCAACGTGGAGCCGTGAAATCTCTTTGGGGTTCGGGGGAAGATGAAATCGGCAAGGCACCAAGAACAAGGGGGTTCCCTAGTTGTCCGTTTCCCTGGTCGTTTCCTTAGTTGTCCGTTTCCTGGCTGTTGCCTTCAAAGTTGGACTGGATGTTGCCCCAACCCCCAGTGGCAGAATCGATCCACCAACGGCCAGAATCGACAGTATCGTGCCCCCAGCTCTAAGTGAACGTCGTCGTCGAGGTCGTCGTCGTCGTAGTTGTTGTCGGGAATGTCGTCGTCGAGGTCGTCGTCGTTGTCGTCGTCGTCGTTGTCGTTGTCGGCCTTGTCGTCCTTGTCGTCGTCGTCGTCGTCGTCGTCGTCGTCGTCGTCGTCGTCGTCGTCGTCGGTGTCGTCGTAGTCGTCGTCGCTGTCGAGGTCTTCGTCGTTGTCGTCGTCCTTGTGGTTGTCGATGTCGTCGTCGACGCTGGGTAGGCGTGAGGAGGTATGAGGATCATTTGTTTTGGTTCGCGCGTGACGCTCCGACAGGAGGCGCATTGAAAAAATGTCTGCTCTGGCGAGCTGCGAAGTGTAGGCCTAGTTGTGGAGATTCTACAGGAGAAGCGCGAGAGAGGATAGGGGAAGGCGTAGAATCGGTGCTGAGGCCAAAGTCGAGGATGGCTTTCGTATGTATGTGGGTTGACGGTTGCAGCGGGTGGGGAGCTCGTGGACAAGGCGAAGGAGAGAAAGCTGAGACAAGAGACGACGACTTGCCAGGAACGAGGAGGGGTGGGCAGAAACAAGAGGTCGGTCGTGGCGTTTGTTGAAGCCATGCTGGTTCCCTGGTTGTCCGTTTGGATTTGGGAGTGGTCGCTGAATGACTGAAGTGTCTCTGGTGGGATATTGCGCAGAGGCCGTTGGCTTGGGGGGAAGGCTACCGCGGGCGGCCGACGCGGGCGGTGCCGGGCGCCTCAGTAAGGCGCGCTCATGCCTCGACCTCCTCCGCGCTGCCGAAACTGGGTGCATAGCGCTTCTTCGTGTTAGTGAAGATCTCGTCGCACGCGTGCTGGAAGGAGATTGGGCCCCTCTTGCGTTTCATGGTTGCCGGGGGCTCATTCAGGCCTGCCTGCGCGAAGTTCAACTCTTTCTGCCACTGTGGGAAAGACGCGGCCTCTGAGACGGCCCACACCTCGGACAGCAGCAGCTCCTTTGCATCCACGTTGATGTGCGTGATGTGGGCGAAGGCGGCGTGTTTCCGCGGGATGGAATAGCGCGGGAGCTTCGAAACGATTGCCGTGGTCGAAGCACTCCAGGTGTCATCCTTGGATTCCTCCATCGCATCCCGGACGGTGTTGACAATGGCGAACCCGTCATCGATGGACGTTACCGTCGGGTCGCGCGCGCCACGGAGCAGCACCAGAGCTCCCGAAGTAAGGGTGGGTGCTCCGTTGCCTGCGGGATTGATGGCAAGGCGGCCGGTGGGCGACATCGACAGCCAGGTCAGTTTGGCGGGGAGGAGCCGGTCCTCGCTGGGGATGAACGTGGTGGGCGTGGCGGTGTCGAAGGTGCGGGGCTCTGCGCAGACGACTGCGAAACTTGGCGGCGCGCCAGCCTCCTTGCCGTCCTTGGAGGTGGCGTACCGGAGGCGCAGACGCGCGCGCGGGAAATTCACGGCGTCGGTGGAGACGGCATCAAGGAAGGAAGCTTTCGAATCCGACTCGGCCAATGCCAGAGCCGAAGATTCTGTCAGGTATGCCTGCGCGGAGCCTGCGCTGTCATGTATGGAGGCCTTGGCGTAGATACGGTCCGTCCCCTTGGCGCAGAGGTGGTCGGGATCCGCGTCTAACAAAGCGACCGTGCAGCTGGGGACCTCGAACAACTGCTCGGGCAACTCTTTCTGGAATCCCGACATGTACTCGAGGACCGAAAGGTTGCACCACATGGCTCGTCCCGTCTTGTAGTCGGTGGTGTTCCCCGCCGCTGACAAGGTATAAGTCGTCATGCTGGCGATGTCGAGGGCGTTCAATCTGGCGGCGCCCGGGAGAGACCCTCCAGCTTTGGCGACGACGGTGGTAGAGTTGGCCGTCAGGTGGATGCCTCCGGATTGTTCTTTTGTAAGCCACGCGTGGAATATATACACCACGTCGCCCTTCTCCGTCTCACTGATGATGCCGCGGTCCTTGTCCCAGAAATTGATTTGGAGGATGCGGCCTTGGTCGTCGCAGATGTGGAGTTCGCTAATGTAGCTGTCCTTCTGCTTGAGGTCGCGTTTGATCTCCGCCACGCGCCCGTGGACGTCGAGGAGCTGGTCGCGGGAGAGGCCGAGGACGTCCCCGGCCGTCATCCTCGGCTCTGCTTCAGAAGGCAAGTTCTGGGCTTCAGTCGCAGACAGGCTCTTCGCGGTCATATTCTTATGGGTCAGGTTAATGGTGACCGGGTGTGGGGCAGAGTGATATTTCGAGTCCTTGGCCTTTGCTTGCATTCTGCGGAACTGCCAGGCGCTTCCGGGTGTGTACTTGTCCTGGAAGTTCTTCAGTTCCGTTTTTTGTTTGTCTGGCGTCCCGAAGAACAAGGCTTCCCCCGCGATATAGTCGCCAGACTCGCTGACGAAGTATCCGCCGAACGCCGTCAGCTTGGCATTCGTCGGTTGCCTGAAGTACGTGTGGGTGAGCCGCACCTTTAGCGTCTGCGTGGAAGCGTTGGTCACGTTCAACGTCTTCGCGGACGCCATGTCGCCGGGCGGGCGGGTCAGTGTATAGGGGCGCGCGGGTAAGTGGGGGCGGCTGCGGTTACTCCGCAGCTGGCGGAATGCGCGAGGGCAACGATGCTCGCTTGAGCCGGAGGCTGCATGGGCAGCGCATTCGCTTTGGGGGGGGCAGAATCACATAAGAGATGGGCGCCAGGGGAGCGCAGGACGCGATGATTGGTGGACGACTCACACTTCGTCGCAGTGCGGTGGTGGCAAGATCGCGACGTTCAAGGGAAGCGGCCCGCTTCTGAAAAGCTCTCACGGGTCCAAGAAGGGGTCGCCGAACTTGATGCAGCCGTGCTGAGAGGCGTCGCGGGGTTTAGCGCGTACTCCTCGAAAGCATGTCACGCTGGGCCTCGTCCAAAGTCGGGCCCGGGTGAGGGCCTGCGGTGCGCGGCTGCGTCTGATGGTACTCTGGCATCGGGCGCGCGATCTCCGCCGGCTCCATGGGGCGCGGTGCTGACGTTCCGCTCGATGGCAGGAGGTGCACGTGGAAGCGTTGGTAGCTGGCAGCAGCACGGCCGCCGCATCTCTGGATCTCTTTGTTGGTCCGGCTGTCCACGCCGTCGATCTTTCTAGCTGCGAGCGCAGCGATGGCCGCGTGCTTGAAGGCGACGGTGGCGTGCAACGGGGGTCCGGGGCGGAGAACGGGCAGCGACTCCAGCGGGCCGAAGTTCATGAAGAGGTTGTTGATTCTGTCTGGCAGCGACGCCGCTGCATCGGGGCGGAGCCAGGAGTCTGGAAATCCCGTCACCAGGATAGTGCGAGATGGATGCATGATATCGTCTCGGTCATCATCGGAGCCGCCTGCACTGTCGAAGCTGGTGCCGTTGCGGAAGGCGGCAACTCCGAGGTTGTTCTCGTGCCGCGCGGAGGCCGGAGCGGGTGCTGCCGTGACAGGGTCGCTCTCGTCTCCTTGCCTGGTCGTTCTTCTGTAAGCACGAGCAACCTCCGACAGAGTTGATCTAGAATGCGTGTGCTTCTTCCCGCGCGATTTGCGGGGACGGTGTTTGGCCATGGCTTGATGGCGCGTGAAAGATATGAAACGAAGCCGATGGCTGAAAGCAAAATGGCTACGGAACGGAGGTCGGGAAAACGAAGAGGAACAGACAGCTAAGGAAGAATGCGTCGGGTACCTACGCGGCGAGCTCAGCACGTTGCCATGCGAGCCGCCAGGTGAGCTCAGCACGCAACCATGCGAGCCACCGGCATTGCCAAAGCGCACGTTTTCCAGAGAAGAGTCGAGGTTTGGGGAGCCCAGGGGAGAGGACCTTAGTGTTCTGTTGATGGGGTCAGCGGGCCGTGCGACCATGCGAAACACGCGGTGTGGTCAACATGCTTTCATGCGACCCACCTTTCAAGTCCTGGACACACGCTCCCCCTCCTCCCGATTCGCCTCTCTTCGCGGCGTCAGGTGCCTTTCCCCGTGTGGAGGGGCGTCGCATCTGGGGTGCGGGGGACGCCAGTGGGGGGGGAGTTCTCGAGGGATCGTAGGCTCAGGCGGGTGTCTTGGGGCGTCGTGATTTTTGGGCTGAGTTTAGAAGAGCTCCCCTTGTTTAGTGCCGCGTCCAGCCTGGCGATTATTGCTGGGGGTGGTATCACTGGCAAGCAGAGTGTCAATCGGGGGGAGCTCCGGGCCCTTCCTCCTCCTCGTCCTCCTTCCTCCTCCTCCCGCCTACACCTCCTCCCGCCTACACCTCCTCCTGCTGCTGCTCCTCCTCCTCCTGCTCCTCTTCCTGCTCCTCCTCCTCCTGCTGCTCCTCCTCCTCCTCCTCCTCCTCCTCCTCCTCCTCCCCCTCGTGTTCCTCATCGTCCTCCCTCCGCTCCCGTCCCCCCCCCCCCCCCATCCCCATCCTCCGCCCCCTCCCCCCTGCCCAAGCAGATAGGGAGGGACAGGACAGTGGGGAGGGCGAGGAGGACGAGGGAGGGGGCTTGGAACGGGAGGTGGAAAAGGGGGGGGAACAGGGAGGAACCGAGCAGCATGGCAGAGTTTCGGCTGCGCGGCCGCTGCCAGCCGAGCCACCCGAGAGGGATTGCCGCGCAGGGAGCGAGGAAGGCGGGCACACGGGCTCTCGCTTGCCGCAGCAGCCGCGGAGTTTGAGCATGCCCAGGCAGAACTCGAAGTGAAGGCGCCATTGGCATTCAACTACGGCCGCGAACTTTTGCTTCGCGTGTCGTCGCGGCGGCCCCGGCGACGCGCCATCCTCTGCAAGCGTGTCGCCCCGCCCCTCGGGGCGGGATGCTCGGAAAGGCTCGGGACTTTGACGCTGGGGGGCCCAGAAGTGGATGCAGTAGGAGCTCGACCACAAGATATCTGCCACAAGAAACCCAACCCACCCTGAGGCCCTGGGACCCACGGCAGAACCGTCGAAACCCAGGGAGCCCAGGGCACCCTGGAGGCAAGCAGGGCGCTTCTTCAGAAGAAGAATAACCCCGGTGCGACCCTACCTAGAAGTTGGAGCCCCCTAGGAAAGCAACACCAGTTGCGATGCTATGCTATGCTATGATATGCCATGATATACTGCGCTATGCTATGATATGCTATGATATGCTGCGCTATGCTATGATATGATATACTGTGCGAAGCTACACAATATCATGATGCGATGTGCTATGCTAAGCTGTGTTATGATATGATATGCCAATCTGCACTATGCTATGTTATGTTATGATATGATATGATATTATATGCTATGCTGCGCTATGCTATGCTATGATATGATTGGCTAGGTTATGATGTGCTATGCTATGCTAATGCAGCGCTGCGCTATGTTAAGCTACGATAAGGTAAACTAACCCTCTAGGCAGAGCCTCGGTAGGGAATTACACCCATGTTAATGCTATGCTATGCTGCGCTATGCTATGCTATGCTGGGCTATGCTATGATATGCTGTGCTGCGCTATGCTATGATACGCTATGCTATGCTATGCTGTGCTCTGCTATGCTAAAGCTCCGCGAAGCTAAGATGAAGGTAAGCTGAGCTAAAATAAACCTGAGCTAAGATGAAGCTAAGCTAAGCTAAGATGAAATACGTTACGATAAGATGAGATAAGCAACGCTAAGCTAAGGGGGCGTAGCTGGGGGAACCGCGGGGCGGATGCCGGGGGAACCGCCCGGGGCGCGTTCCACTGCCCGGCCCCTTTAAGGAAGAGGGCAAGAACCCTTCTAGGCAGAGCCTAGGTAAAACAAATGCTACAAACACAAACTTCTGGCGCTCCGCGTGGAGTTCTTGGATCTGCGCTGGACCCCCCTCCCTGGCGCGCGGAGCGCGCCAGGGGCGGCGCTGGAGGCGCCGCCGGGGGGGCCCAGCACAGGTCCAAGAAATCCACGCGGAGCGCCAACCGTTTCTGTTCATGGCGATTTGATATTATTCGATTCTTGGCAGGGGCTTCCACTGAAGCGCGTCGCGCCGCAGCGTGGTGGGCCAGCGCGGGCGGCGCGACGCTCGAAGCGTACGATCCTGCCCGCAGCGCGCTGCGCTTCGCGAGGCGAGGACCTGAGCGCCCCCGCGCCGCCCGCCTGGAGCAGGGTTCACTGCGCTGGGTGGGCTTGTGTTCCACCGCCACCACCATAAGTAGGAGGGGGAGGGGGCCCTCCTCCTCCTCCTCCTCCACCTCCTTCTCCTCCTCCTCCGCCTCCTCTTCGTCGTCCTCCTCCTCCTCCTCCACCTCCTTCCCCCTCCAACTCTGGTAGTGGGAAACAGGCCAATCAGCGCTGGCCTGGGCAGCGCCGCGAGAAGCACGGCCATCTGCGCGCCCCCCGCGCGCGGCCTCGGAGGCCAGCCCACGCGAAACTTCCCACAAGGAACCCAACCGTGAGACCCCAGGAGGGCCATGGATTTCTGGCGTGGGAACATCGCGCTTTCCACTGCACAACCATCGAAACCCAAGAAACCCAGGGCATCCTGGAGGCGAGCAGGGTGTTTCTTGGCATGGGTCTCCACTGCATTCACCGACGCTTTTGCTGGCTCCGCACTGATACTCACACAGGAGCGCGGACCCTGGTGTGTATACAGGATCCTGGTGGATACATGTTTCGTTGTTTCCCCCGGGGGAACGGGGCAACAAGTATGCACCGCGCCGCCCCGACGTCGTCCCAGACTCTCAAGAAGTCTAAAGAAGTCCTGGAATTGAAAACAAGCTCGCCGCTGGCAATGTACATGCTACAGCTTCCGAGAATACGTTCAGGACAGGAACTGGCGACGCCGTCTGGGTCGTTGCCGCCCTGCTAGCGACGCAGTCTGGGTCGGAGGCGCGGCCCAGCTGCCCACGTCCATCCCTGCAATGATCGGCCACCCGAACGTTACTCAGGTTGGTCCCGCACGCGCGGATCATCGGAGCTCCTGGTTCCAAGCTCTGGCAGCGTAGCACAATCTGGCCATCGCTCGGACGTCCATTTCATTTTTTTTTTTTTTTTTTTTTTTCTTCGCGAGTGGTGTTTTCGCCAAATGATCAAGGATGCTCCTCGATGGTCCTCGCCGAAGAAAAAATGCACGCGTCCGAGCGATGCTGAGCAATTGAGGAATCGCCAGCATCGTGCATCTCCTACCTTACTCAGGTTGGCCCTGCACGTGCGGATCATCGGAGCTCCTGCTTCCACGCCCCCGCAGCGTCGTCTGGAGCGGCTTTGCAAGCGCGCGGCGTCACTTAGCCGGACCGTCGTTGCTCTCACCGCCGGCCGTCGTTTTTGACGTAGCGGTTCTCGCTGCGCCTGCGTAGTCCGCGGTGCCGCGCGGGGGCGGAAGGCGCGTATGCTGGACTGGGGTGCAGGAGGCCCTGCGACGGAGGGTCCGCGGCCGTGCATTTCAGGGGGGCGCAGGGAGCGCTGGCGGCGAGAGGCGTAGCCTTGATGCTCAGGGCTGGTCCCGCTTCTCCTTTTTCGGAGTTCGCAGGCCGCGTGCTCGACGTGGGTCTCTCCGACGAGAGCGACGTCGCGCAGCTCGAACTCCCGGCGGAGGCGGTGGCCGACAGGGGCTTCAGCA